GTTAATTATTTAATTTCACCTGACATAAAAAAAAAAAACCAGATCATCTAGTGAAGTGGAGATTTCCCCGATCGAATTATTATAGTTTAAATGTTATCCGTGTAGTAGATTTTACCCAAAAGCATTTGTGACGAATAAAAACAGCAACACAGAAGTTTTACGTTTTATTTCATTCGACAATTTTCCACTGAAGCTAGGTGAACGTAAACAAATACCAGACACAACAATTATATAATTTCCCCTGCTCTTTGATCTCTAGCAAAATTTACGATAATATGGTCATTGCATTTTGTTTCAGTCGTGGACGTTTTATTCATCTAAGCACCGTCGTTTGATTTACGTTTTGTTCATTCGACAATTTTCCACTGAGGCTAGGAAAATATAAACAAATACATTACACAGCAATTATACAATTTCCTCTGCTCTTTGATCTCGGGAAAAATTTACAATAATGTGGTCATTGCATTCTTTTTCTGTTGTGGACGTTTTTTCCATCTAAACACCGTCGTTTGATCAATGTTTTCCCCGTCCCCTCAATCTGATGTCTTTCTTTCCTGATCAGGCAATATTTATTATTATGTGGTCAGCATCTTTCTCCTTTTGTTGCGTCGTTTTCTTGTCAGGCTCCATAGCATCGGATGCTTTGTTGTTTGGTTCCCCGCAACCTGTAAAACAAACAATTGCCCTGTCATAAGTTGGTGCTATGTTAATGCGTTTATTGTTCTTATGTTTGTTTCTCTTCGAAAAAGGCTCAATCAGGTTCTGAGTGAGCCGACAAGTTTTCAAAAAAAAAGAAATAGACTAGCAGTTCAACCTTTTCAATGACGCTTGTGTGAAATTGTTTTTTCATGAAAATGGGTGCATTTTTATAAAGTAGATTAATGATGTATTGCAGTGACTATTAGGCAAATTGCGCCGTATAACTACATACTTTGGTGTTTATAACTCGGATAATGTGGTTTTATCAACTGAGTTGAAACTGTGAGTTAGCCACCGTAACGAGTTACTAAAGCTGAATTTTCAGTGGAGGGTTAGCCCTTCGTCATCACCCAAACGATGTCCAGTGTCGGCGCTAATCTTAAAACTGAAAACTCGGATAGCCAGCTGGTCGTCTCAGGCCGTTCAAAGTTATCTTTTTTGAACTTACAACACCACCCTTGTTGCATGCGCGGACTGGCACCAAGCTGAGGTCCCACTTGAACATTATCATTTAACCTTTCTTTCCAACTCCAGCCATAAACATCATGTTGTAGATAACCATCATAAGCATCCTGAAGCTAAGCCCATTCATCTCCAACGTCAAAAGGTGGACCCTCTGCCGGAAGATTTGGAGGCACAGGTGAACCGGCCAGAGGCGCGTCATTCCAATGGATCTGCGTCGTAAGGAATCCGTCTGGACAACTAAAGCCTTGAGGAATCCCACAGAAACAACGTCTTTTCTCTTTTGGACCGGTTGCACTTTCTTCTTTCCCGTTCTTTCTTTTAAAATATTGACCTCTGTAGCCAGGTTCAATTGGTCTTACTTCCCGCCTTTTAGAATAGATGTAGCTCTCGAAATCCACTTTCTCAGTTTCGATTTTTCTTTTGGCTTCACCTTGCCTTAAGGGATGAATTGTTTTTCCCGAAGATGTGAGAAACGAAGCAAAGAGAAGAAGTAATAGAAACGTAATCCTTTCCATTGTTTATTTTGTGCTTCACGGCCGGGGTTTGCTTTCTAATGTTGAAGTGTCCTCACATGAAGCAGAGAACCACAGAAGCAGACGCGACGTTTTAGTTACGTCCGAATTCTCTCCATTTTATGGCTAGTCATGCACGTCAATAGAACCAAAGCGTTATTTAGCTTCGAAGTAGGTCATTTATAGTATATACGATGTCGTAGGAGAAATTAACTCGTAGCTCTCTGGTATTTTTGGTGGATTTTGACATTTCTCCGCCCTTTTTGTCTTCTTAGCCCGCTGAATAATTTCTGATTTATATACAGGGGTAAACTAAGAAGCATCAGAGTTTCCTAGACAGTTATATATGTAAATTGTTCCTAAGTTTTCTGCTTTCTCTAAAGCAAATTAAATATTTTCGAGTATCTGTTGAATTACCTTTGCACAACATCCAACTAAAGATAACAATTATGAGGATAATTATTTTATAACCTCTTACTTAATGTTTTATCAATTTATCTTTGTTCGTCATCATAATGGTTTAATTTTTCGAAAATTTTACTTAAAAAAAAGACATAGAAGTGCAAGGGCTTAAGGCTATTTTTAAAGTTTCACTTCCTTTTAATCTTAATTAAAAAAACAACAACAATCCAAGTGGCTAACGCTCAAATAAAGGACACTGAGAGATTATTAGTGAATGGTTTTTATTAAATTCTTCATGTACGTACTTTTTATCTTATAACTTTTGGAAAAAGGATTTGCAATTTCAATTAAGAAATTCCTAAGAGAGAAGTACATAGCTCAGCGGTGAAAGTTTCGCGGGATCAGCAACGGAGAAGGAATGTATCTTCGTGTTCGGCCATCTCCTGTGAGAACAATTAAGAATACAAAATTGATCAAGGAAGCTTGAATTGTCATGCATTGTAAAGGATAAGTAATTCTTCAAGCTAAATGTTACTATTAATGTAGTTTTCTCTAGTAAGAGGCAGTCATGTTCAGGTTCGTTAGCGTCAATGAAATGAAAGTAGCGTAAAGAGTCAATTTTTTTAAATCTGAATTAAACAGTGTCAGCAGATTTTAACGGGAATGTTCCTTAGCCTGAAAGCCACGGTATAATGAATTTTAATCGCAAATAGCTATTTTATTACACTGTCATTTATCATTCAAATTTTTTCATTTTACACTTACGAAGACATCATTCTAGCAGCTAAGTTAAATGCCAAAACATTTGAAACGTTCATAGTATTTTTCACTTACTCAACCAAACGTGCTGAACGCCCCCTTCGTTAAACAGCCGCGGGAAACGTCGACCACCCGGGCGAAAAACCCCACCATGGAATTTACCGCATTCACATCCACCATAACCACCACAACATCCACCACATCCGACGCACTCATCACATCCACACCCGGAGTCAAATCCGTCCCCACCAAAGCCTGCATCACAGCTGCCACAATTTGAGTTGCATAGCCCGTGTGAACCAGTGTAATCCCACGGTGAAATCCATCCAGGAGGACAGTCGTATGGATGAGATCGTTTCCGAGGACTTTTACCTGGCTTCCATACCTTTTCTGAGACTCTTCCGTCGTTTAATCTCTCCGCCTGTTTTTTTACAGTCTTATATTGCAAACCCTTGACATCTGAATCAACACTCAGTACTTCCTCTTCATATCCTCTCTTATCGATATAACTGCTTTGTTCTGTGGACTCCATTCTTCCTACGTAGTGCGGTAGACCCGTGCCTTCCTCTCCACCATGCGAAAACGTCGCCTTGACAACTAACAAAACCAACGACGGTGCTAAAACAGATAAAGCTTTCATGACGAGAAGAAAAGAGTTCTTCACCTCTCTACTCGAGATAAATGGATTGAAATCACAGAATCTCAAGATTTACCAGCAGGTGCCGCTTTCATGCCGTAATAATACCGTCCATTAATTTTCATTGACAAATAGATTTTAGCGATTTCATTCAAGCTGGAAAAAATGACGTATCTAGTAAACAAATTTCTGGACGAAAACACTTATTTTGGTGTCAATTCAATACAAAACTAGGTTTATGGTGTTTTGATATAAAGACAAAAATAAGCAATAAGGTATATCCGTTTTTCTTAAGAGTATGGGCGTGGTGCAATTTTCTGGTACCTTGATTGTCATGTTATACCTTTGTATGTCACCTGCAAGCCGACGACCGACGTTACTGCTCTGACGTGCGAGCATGCTAGTGACGATTTTACAGCCTAACTGTTAACTAATTTTAAAAATTCAAAATACTGCAAATGAAGCTCAAGGCGTAATAATTTATTTTCATACTTTGATTAAAAGGCTGTGACTGAGATAGGTACAGTATCGTAGAAGGATATGACAGTACTTTTTGCTCCACTTCAGCACTGTATGATAGTTTATCTAATTTTACCCCACCATTATTGTAATTTGTTTAAATCGTATTCCTTTGTAACAATGAACAAATCTAAACCACTGACTGTTGCAATTAAGGGGAGTTCTGATTTGCACCGCCATCATGGTACGTAAGCCGTTTAAGACTATACTGAAGCGACACCGGAAATCGCTAATTAATTATTGTTCAATTTTCTTATTTAAATAAACATTTTTCAAGTTATCAACATTTCTCGGTCGCTTTTAGCACAATACTTCTTTTAGGCTCTATTGGTAGATACGAAGTGATCATTTACTGTGACCATATTGGTGTGCACTCGTATAATAATTATTTCAACAATTTCTTTTTACTATGACAAGAATATTGAAATACAAAAAAAGTGGATGTCTACAAGTCTTCTAGGAGTGATTGTAATCAATCCAAATAACAAAACCTTTTACCTGCCTTTTCTCCAAAAAAATGTAATTGCGAGAGCTCCTAAAATAGTAGTGTAAGAATGCAAAACATCAAACTTGAGTGTGCTCGACCCCAGAGATTTATACCCACCAAGTGGAATACGTTCAAAGAAAAAGAAACTGAAATACAGGTAGAATGTACGCGCAAATTACAATTAGTTATAATATTATATTCCTCGTGATCATCGGTTTGACAACGTCAGTGGTCAGACTGCGCTCTTGATTGCCCTTTATTTCCATTTCATACGACAAGCTATAGTGTCAATTAACAATCAGAGGTGGCAATACTTGTTTGTATTCAGGACAGAAAAGTTTATCGATCTGGCCATCTCCCATCATGATCTTCTTATACGCCAGTGATCCTGGTCTCAAGAAGCGTGCGTCAACTGTGGAAGACCTTACAAATTCGACTAGAAACAAAGTAAATGAGGAAAAACAGAAAATAAATAAATCAGCTCCATTTTATTCGTAATTTCATACAAATATGAGGGGTCAAACCAGGCTGTAAGAGTCCAGTCCAAATCTTTTTACAAAATGCACTTTCTTCGTATTTACAATTGTTTTTTTTTCGTTGCATGTTAGTAGTTATTTTGATTTACTGCGTGCCTCATGGACGGCCGGGCTTGTCTTTCCTGACGTATCTTGGCTTGGCTGCTGGAAAAACGGTGGGACTGTCTCTTTCTGGCTTCGGCTTTTCCCCTTCCGACTCCTTACCGTTCTTGCAACCTGATGAAAATCGGAAATTAAAGGTTGCAAGTGATAAAAGCGCCGGTCACTTGGCTTTTAACAGAAAATTGCCCCATACCCGAAAAACATTTATCACTGAAATAGTACTAGCTGAGGGCAGCGAAGACGAGTGTATTAATTGTGATTTGTGTGTCTGTAGTCGGCTAGTTACTGCACCATCAATTATATTATGTGTTCAGTATCAAATTTTCAATTGAAATTTCCGCTTGACTGTATCATAGAAGTGGAACTAAGTGGAAATACGAGGTAGAGCGGAGATAGTTTCTGTGTTTAGAGTAACGTCGCGTCAACTAGTTAACAGTTCTTAACCATCATAATAAAAGTTCTCTCTGGATACTTTCTCTCTGTACCGCAAAATATATCGAATTTGACATATTTCTGTTTTCTCTCCCCATACGGTTATTATTTCGTTTGTTTCTTCGTTACTTTTATGTTGAAAAAGGTGTTTTATTTTGAACATCGCATGTTTCCTTTAGCCAGTTAATCATAAATTGAACCCGTTATTTCTCTGGATTATTGTCTTAATGACCCTTATGCCTCAGTACAAACTAACTCTTAATTAAGTTATGTATTTCTTATCTATCATCGATCATTTCCTGCAAAATAAAAAAGCATTACTTACAGCACATCACTATCGGTGGATGTCTACAGCCCCCTCCCCAGCCAAAGCCACCGCAACCACCGCAACCACCGCAACCACCGCAACCCCCGCACCCGCCACACCCTCCACACCCAAATCCACCTCCATATCCTCCATATAAGGGGTAGCCTCCCCAACCTGGATGAGGTATCATGTCATAAACGCCACCCAGGCCACCGCAGCCGCCGAAGCCTCCGCATCCCAGACCAGGCCAACCGCCACCAACACATCCACCACAAGGAATGGTGTAAGGTCCGCCGCAGCCAATCACTTCATATGCGTGCGCTGGTCCACAAGGCAATGGACACATACATCTCCTCCTGACCTTCTTCATTCTGTTGATGGCAGGCTCAAATGGGGTTATCTCTATTTTGCCAGCGGGACCGGCGAAATTCAAAGAAAACGGCTCGGGTGTTTTCATCTGCTGAGATGGGTCTTGAGGCCTTCCTGGCTGCATTGCAGTGATAGTGAAAGGTTGTTGGATTCCCAACGTGTTTTGCATTTGCAGTTCTTTAGAGTCTGGCTCGTTTTTATTCTTTGGACGGTCACTTTTTGGCAAGGATTTGTCTTCTTTTCTATCTTGGCCTTCTTTGTCTTCAGTTTCTAAGTCACCTCCACTGAAATCACCACTTCTTTCGTCATCTTGGAGCTCTGCATTATCACTTCTCTTCTGCCTCATTCTTGGTTCTTCAGTGGTACTTCCGTCTTCCTCGTCTTCATCATCACCATCCACGACAGACGTCTCCAACTCATCTTCGCCAGAGGATTTACTGTCGGAAATGGAAGCACCTTCGCCCTCGTGTTCTTTGACGGGCTTGCCTGGTGTCAAGTCCAACAGGGATAGTGAAACAATAATTAGTAGAATAAGTTTCATGTTTACTTTCTTCTGTCTTGAAGTGAAAAATTTTGTTTTGCGAATTCTTTTTTTGTGTTGTGTCACTATTTCAAATTTCCTAGAGCACGTAATGTTATGTCATTGTAATATTTGTTCAAATGGCGTGAAGTGTCACCTGCAAAGCTCTATCAATTACTCGATCTTAGACCTGTTCGTCGTGTAATTAAAAGATTGTTCATGTTTGCGATATCTTCATGGAAAAAAAGCTCTTTTATTGGTGGTACTGTATATATTTGTGCAGAAACCGTCTTCTTCAGGGTTAGCCGGTCGTAAAAATCAACCAACTCCTACCTCTGTGTTGTTTGTTCTACCAATTGTTTCAGAGATTAAATGTTCGTTAACTCTTTTAAGTTTGCTCATAGAAACGGTTAGTTTCTTTCGGTCGCATTTATCATGAACCTTGATTGCAAAGAATGCTCAATGCAAACAGCTTTAGATTGTTCACAGTACCATCCTGGTTCATTAAATGAGTTATCGTATGAAAGATAAATATTGGATCTCTCCCTCCACCAGAATAAGCTTTCTTCGGTGTTTCCACAAAAGAGAAAATTAATTTCTTTGAATAATAAATTGCCCTGAGGAATATGGCTCCTCACATGAAAATGACCAATATATTTGATGCGCTTCACAGGAGCGACAAAGACGCTCTATTGGTTGAGTGGGTAATCAATTGGCGATGATGGCCGAATAAAAAAAGCTGCTCAGGTTAATGTCCCTTAAACATGTAAAGAATGGTAATGTTCCTAAGTGAATTGATCATCGTGAAGTTATAACAATTCCAAAGTGATATTTTGAATCACAGAGTAAAGCCCACAAGTTATTTAAGTTATCCAAGTATAAAGTTTTAGCGCAATTATCCTTTTTTTGTTCTCTACTTAAGAACCTTTAGACTAACGTGTCAATCATTTATTACAAAGTCCGCCCTAATAAAAGGACCAGACTTATTTAAACTGATCCGCACGTATTTGAAAAGACACCATGCTAGTGGATGGAGCAGTTGAGGAAAGCTTAAATTAAAACAGCGGACAAATTTAGTTTTTATTGCATACGAAACGGACACCGACAAAATAAACTACCTTCCACAAAGGTTTTTTAATCTACAAAAGAATCGCTTATAAGCTATTTTGACAGTAGCCAGCCATAACGAATTAATAATTTATTCAAAACAGATCAAAAATTCCCTTGGTTAACAAAACAAGTAGTGCTGTGGACCTGCACTGGTGAGAAACCGACCAATAGTCGAGGCGCTAATTTTTTATTGAACCAACGAGGCCTATTGCCACGTTAAATTAGTAAACTTATCGGATATTCTACGCTCACCAAGAAAGTCCTAAAACCGAGATTGTTTGAAGAAGCTTCTTCATCGTGGCCTTCAATTTCAAATTGGAAGCCTCTAGAAGAAGTCTGGGGTCACAATGACAGACTTGGCGCCGAAAGTACTATTGTTCATCGCATTCCTTTACGTTTACATAGGTGGAATAAGAGGAAGGCCAAACATTTTGGAAGATACGGCAAGAGGGGAAAATCAAAAAACATTTGAAGAAAGTGATCTTTTAAAAAGATCTAAGGCCAAAAGTGGCGGACAAGGCAAAGGTAACAGCTATATGATTGTATATCGCCCAGTGCAATGTGAAAATATATATATATCTCGTCCCGTGATTTAATTCAAAAAAAGTTTGTTTGTCTCAGGTATATCACAATGAAAAAAAGGAGCATCTATCGCAGTAATTTACTCCATTTGGGATAAAATATTGCCATTTTACTAATATAGTGAAATTCACCTTGACCAAATAATAACAATGATAATAACGATATATTATTTCTTTGGTCTCTCAAAGGTTTTATCTCATTCGAGATTTCATTTGGAGCAGGGTGCAGTGCAAAAACATATCTACTCCACTTAGTCCCTATTTGTAATTGAAGACAATTTTTCCTCTGGGCGATAAATATTGCTGGCTTTCAAGCTACTTCAAACTTAAGTTTTTTAATCCAAGATTAATGACAACTTAAGCCATAAGCGATGCTGTAAAACTATCGCGGTAAAGCAGTTGTATTCGCAAGCCTAGCTATGGGAAATGCAGTACTAAAATAAACTACGGATCACCCGAACTTCTCGTAGAAGACAGTGCTAACGAAAACAAAACAAATAGAAACGCAATTTCTTTTAACTTGGAAGTATCTTTGACAAGCCAGAGACAATCACACAAGCTAAAAGAATAAACACGGAAAAACTGAATACAGAAGCCACCAGTTAAAAGGGTCGCATGATTTTAAATCATGTTGACATGAAAGGGTGGTTGTTTTAAAAAAGTCAGGTTAGGTTTATTGGTTCAGTGATTTCTCATAACACTTTACTGGATCAGTTGCGATGCTTTCTGAAATGTCATTTAATGGTACGTTTAGGCAAGCCAACTTCAAGGATATACTTTAGCCTTTTTATTTGAAAAAGAAGCAAGCAGTATTTAGTAAATGCCGTCAGTTCATTTATGGAATCCAGTAAGAGGAAAAGTAGTTATTTTATGAGTAAGAAATTCTTATCCACTTTATTGTTTTCATAAGACCACAAGGAAATCAAGGGAAAGAAAAAGCAAGTCATAGATGCTTACCACCTTGGTCCCTACCATCACGGAAACCCTTGGGGTACGGTCTCACAGTGGCCGGGATTTCATTGGGGAGGAAATCCATCACGCCATGCAGGATGGACTGGGTATCCGTCCCTCGGAGGATGGCACAAGTCTCACATTTCCAAAAAGAGTCCTAAAAAGGCAGCACAAAAAGCATCTTTAAAGCGTCGCATGCTACCAACATTTGCCTTTCCAGCTTATGGATACGCTTACCCGTCTTTAGGGTTTGCTGCGGTGCCATTTACGCCTTCACCTATTCCCTGGGGCCACGCACATTATCGTACCAAAGTCCCCGAGAAATCTTCAATAGGGCATACCAGATCCTCCGTGAAACACACTGAAGCTAACAAGAGATGGTGGCCGGGATATATGGGGGGATGGGGTGGATGGGGATTAGGAAATGAGGGATATCCGGGCTGGGGCGCTTTAGGCGACTGGGGACGTGGTTATGATTTTGGAGGTTTCGGTCATGGATGGGGCATGCTAGGTACTGGCCTTAGTTATCATCCTTTCCTGAGAGCTGAGATCCCCCGAAAGCAAAGCAAGAAAGATAAAGCGGAAAAACGTTGGTGGCCCGGCTACATGGGTGGTTGGGGAGGTTGGGGACTCGGCAATAGTGGTTACCCTGGATGGGGACCATTAGGCGGTTTCTGGGGTCACGGATGGGGTCCATATGCTTATGGTCATGGGTATGGTTTAGGAATTGGACGTGGTCATGCTTTTCGCTCGGATCTTCCTAGTAGAGACGATAAAGAAGAACAGAGCCCAAAGCGACAACTCATACATGAACCATTTGCAGGTACTGACTTTCCTTGGTCGGGTTATGGACCGTTTGCGGACTACCAATATCCCTATTTCGGTCATAGTCAGTACATTCCTTATCCTTTTGCACCATATGGGGATTCAATACCATTTTACGGGTTTGGCCCATCTCCGGTCTTAGGATATGGCTTCCCTGGAGACCATGGGTTTTTTAAGTCAGAGATTCCAGAAGGAAAATCTAAAAAAATGCAAAAAGAACTAAAAAAGGAAGAGAAAGCTACTGGTAGGCACTTTGTAAATAATTTTCATCCAGGTCGAATGGGATGGGGAGGAGCACTATACTCCGGTAATGGTTACCACGCCGCCTTTCCCTTGTTAGGTGCCCATACGTATGGCCTGTATGGTGCAGGGTTTTACGGACCATATGGTCCTCCTTATGGGGCGTTTGGTCCTTACTCTAGATCAGGCATTCCTGGCAGTTCGAAGGAAAATCCTCAGAGTAGGCAAGTGATAAACTACAATCCAGGATGCTGTGGATGGGGTGGATGTGTCTACCCCGGTTGTGGTTATATTGGTGGATGGACCTGGCCTCTTCCATGCCATTTCCGTCACTGTGGCTGTGGCTGCCCATGCTGGACGCGATCTAAAGCTCCCAGGAAGCAATCACTGAAAGAAGAAAAAGGGAAGTCTAGACAGGACATAGAAAGCCCAGTAGAAGAGGAAAGCGAAAATGGTAAAGAAGATCCGCGAACACGTCCACATCTGGAAGGCGCCGACCTACTAAACTCAGAAATGCAGAGCCTGGCTATGGGATTTCCAGGAATTGAGAAACTTCAAACACCTATGGGATCATCAAGTAACCCAGGAGTCCAAGGTTTTAACGATCAGGAAATAGATGCGAATGGAGAACACTCGTCCCCTGAACCAGCGGAGGCAAGTGAAAGTATGGCTGGTATGAATCCTTTCGAAGGGGCAAATGCCCTCAGAGCAGCTGCGATGGGCAGCATGGGGGAGCAACAGGATGGCCAACAGCAGACAGCCGAAGATTTAATGTCCACATTCAGCACGAGTCCATCAAATGAGGGCGAAGCACCCGTTGAAGCCTTTGGTGAAACAGGTGAGCTAATAACGTGAGACGAAATGTGAGATTGTGGTCGGGTGATACATATTTAAGAATGACTGAGCTGGTTAACTTCCTTTGAAAAATTTTCATATCATGCTTCATTAAGGAAATCCAAACATGTATCCTACCGAAGCGGAGGAGCAAGCCACGGAAGCAGCCTCTCGAAGAGCTGATATTCCCGGTGAGATGGAGAAAGAACTAATCAAGAAGCAGGCTGTGGCATATCCATACCACTACCTCTACCCTGGATTTACGATGGCTCACGGAGTCAATCCATACTACCATTACACCCCACTTAATTATGTAAGACACGCCTTTATGACTTCTGTTTACTTTCGTAAAAGCACTCGCATTAAATTTTGGGTAATTCACGAGGGATATGCGAGAAATAACCCCATAAACGTTGTTTTGCAGTCATATTATAATCCTGTGTTGCTCAAAGAATGGACTACTTCCCTACTTCCCTAATAGTATATAAACTTTGACCTTTTGCCTCAGAGAAGGCGACAGTAATGGTTACTCGTAAGTTTTTCGTCA